TATATCAAAGAATTCCGCTGAGCCTTATAGAGCACCTATAAGCACCACCAGAGAAAGCGAGAGAGCGAAACAAGTTAGCTTCCTTTTGATATCATTTCCGATTCCCAACTTGAAGGTTCTTACTTAGTTCGAGTCACAGTAAGAGTGCAAGACGTGGGCACCGCTGACGAATCGCATATTAAAAGAAAAAACTGTCCAGTGATCCTCAACGGTCATCACAGATACTTACTTATTGCAGCGCCGCAAATTTAATTAGAAATTCCACCACTCGATTGGAATACGTAGTCGAATTTGAGATTTTTGAGATAAAGTCATAACCCTCGAGTGTGGTGCCAAGACGAGTGAGGTCTGATGCTTGTAACAGGTTAAGCTAGACTGCTTTTGCTGTACAGTGTGTAGACGGTATGGGGAGCTGTCCGGCTGTCAGGTGGGCCGTATGCATGCGTTCTAACTGCGAGATTCTGCTCTCGATTTTCACTGGGGTTGATGGATTCGCTCACTGCTGTTTCTATACGGCGAAGATCGTTTTGCAATAATCGCGTGATTCGTTACACATCAAGTTCCAAATGACTAGAGAAACTGAGATTTGTGAATGAGGCAAGCATTTAACAGTTTGCTGAAACCAATTCAGGTTTGATATGATGATCATACCCAAACGGCTTTGACGGTACAATATATCGATCTGGGTGGTTGAAATCTGCGGTTCTACTCAACGATTTCAAGAAGCCGAGGGATCGTTATGTTTCGCTATCAAATTCTAGGCTCATGAATATGGAAATTACAGTTTCTAAAATTCACAAAACCTTTCTCCACAGTGAAGTCAATTTTCTATTTGCAAGTGAATTCTGCTAATTACAGTTTATTGGAAAAATATCTAATTCATACAAACTAAGCACTTGCAGGCACTCGGTGGAATTGGTAACAGTGCTCATTTTCGGATATTCCAGAGGTTGTACAAACGCGCCATATTTGAGCGACAGGAGTTCTGCGCAAGTATATTTTAAAGGTGAATAGTTAGAAACTCATGGTCATAAACACATGCGCGCAGAAAAGTATGGAACATACAAATGTCGGGCCTTTTTTTCCTTTTTTGAGCTCGTGACCAAAATTAAATTGGGTGAACGATCCAGTCGAGATACGCGTGGAACGAAAGTAATCCTTCCCGGGTCGAAACATTTGATGGAGGTGCTAACTGGCAGAAATGCAGAATGGGAAAATTCCGAGTAGACTTCTTTGCGTACACTCGTTGGTGATGACATTGCAGTCATTTAAACTGAGATGCATGCATGATAAGCTTTATGTTGCGGTAAAAAGGATGTAAAATTTCGCAAAAATGTTGCCTTTTGGCTTAGTCTGTTGACTAATATCAAGCGCAGTAGTCTTAACCCACTCCTTTTAGCCTCATCTTTCGGTAGCCGAACGTGTTCATTTTTTCGAAAACGGAGCATTACCATCCACGCCCCATCTGCCTCAGTTCGTCTTTTCCTGATGTTGAAAAGTAAAGAAAACGATTGTCCATACTAACTTTTTAACCCCCGGGAATAATTCAACTTTAGTCGACAAACATACTGCATTATCACTATTACACCACCAGCATACCATTAAGCCTAACCGCTTTGTATTGTTCACTGACGGATACCAGTTCGCCTACTTTGAGGGAGTTCTGTCCGCCACGAAACCTGTGTAATACCGGATGTCGTCTAATCCCACTTTTATATCTTTATATTCCTCTATTTATTCTATTGATTTTCACTTATAAATAAGCAGAAAACGTAATGGCACATCCCACAACAATATTTTGACTGCTCCCTTAAAGGGAAGCTTTAAAATGTATAACTGGAAGATCTCATAATGTGAGTTTTTCATTAAACCAATGCAGTTGCGTTCAACCTCTCTTTTCCAGTACACCTCGGCTTGCAGCTCCCGTCGAGTTAAATCCCTTTCCCAGAAATCTTATCAACGAGTCAGACACCAAAATATTACATCACGTCAAATGCCTTGAATGTTTGTAAATGAGGGAAAGATTAGCGATGACCGACAAAGAGCACTGGACTGCTATTTCATCGTCAGGACTCCAACATCAAACATCAATAGTGACTGGGGATTGTGAAAAAACGAATGGGTTATTCCGAATGTACTACTTTGAATGTTTACTTTCCATGGACCTAAAATAGTTTGATTATGTAAAAAAATTCCTTAAAATCTTACGACTGATCGGTTGCGTTTCACGCCGGAGACACCTCAGTGGGTTGAAATGAGTATCTTGATCGAACTATAGTACCAATGGTAAGGATAACTTGCATATACATATATCCCTATCGTTTAACGGGTGTATATGCGACCAAGAAAGATTGCGAATTCAACGTGAATCTGGTTGGATTCAGTGGATATGCGTTGCCGAAGAATAATCGAATAACTTCCAAGACTTGTCAGTAAATATAAGAATCTGCTTTCCAAGGTGGCTTTCTTTATTCATTCGTGACCACTGTGGTTTCCAACCTAGCACTTTGGCTCCGTTCCCCTGGTTGGGTGGTGCATGATAAGATAAATCAGTCTACCAACATTTCATTTAATGGTTTTCCAAACGGATGCGTACCATAAGCACATGAAATAAACTGTTAAGCGTTCTGTAGAATGAGTTCTAAAAGAATGTGAATTGCAGAAAAGCCGGGTGAAGGACAAGCACATTTTTTGGAACATAAGCGGTTCTCACCGGTTAATGACAATCACTTCGGGAATTGGAAGCATTCCCCAGTAAAAACATAGTCCGGATTGGAATGTCTCCAAGTGTGTTACAATGCAGGAGGCTAGTGCTGAGATGAGCTCGGTGGGATGCTACCAACAAGTCCGTAAAAATAGGCTGCACCCTATCGCCACAATTAAAAACGGTTAGATCAGCTGACCGGCGGCCCAGTGAGTAGTACGATCGTGTTCTAATTGTGATGTTCAGGGTTCGATCTTTAGTTGGGTCGATCGAATCTACCGCCTACTGATGAGAGCCAACCAGGTCGAAACAGCAGTACAGTGCATCCCAGCTTTTCACCTCATGCATCATTTACACGACGAATTCATCATATAGTAAAATCACACAATAGTACATTCAGATAAACCAGCTTACAAAACGTTGCGTATAATGGGCGTCACCACTGATGCGCACCATAAACCAATACAATAACCTGCTAAGCTTACTGCAAAATAACGATAAAATAATGTGAATCGGAGAAAGGTTGGATGATGACAAATTACTTTTTTGCACATAAATGGTTCTTGCCGGTTTCTGATAATGATCTCGGTCTTCGCAAACCTTTAAGAATTATCTTATTTCATCAATTGATGTGCGATGTACAGTAAAAGGGATACACCACTGCGCATCCTTGGATACCGGCACTCTTTGCCCCTGAATATTTAAGAGGTGAACTACAAACGGACCCGCTAGGATAGGTGTGATGAAAACGACGCTGTGGCGGGGTTCGAACCTCAGACCCTAGGACACAATGACTGCAGTTGAAGGTCGATTTGCTCATCAACTTCGACCTCATCTACGGATTTGGCTTAATTGAAGAGTTCGGTAGTTTACGTGGGGCAACTTTCAAGAAAAATCTGTACTGATATTTACAAATCAACTTTGATTTGAAATCTTTTGGGGATCTGTTCCGAATACCAGGAATTTCATTACCATTTTGGTATTCTGTCAACCACATTCACACTTATATCGGTAAGTTGTCTGGAATCCCATTGTATGCAAACCATTTAGACGTAGATTCAAGAAAACTCCAGTAATGTCCTTTTTACTCCCTGTAAGTGTCGACTATGAGCACACAAAATCATGAGTGGCTCGAACGACGTTTTGACCATGAACCCAATCAAGTGACTTTATATCACATCGAGTGGGCGCACTGTACTGTACTGCGAATCGGTAATTCAAATTAATTTGCCCAATCCTCGGAACTCGTTCCTATTCTCTGATAAAAATGTTTTCATGCCACTCCCATTTGCAGCCGGAAAACATACTGTGCTTGTCCAGGACCAGTTTCAAAATCAAAATCATCGATTTCGGTTTGGCTCGATTTTACGACGGAAAAGAGATTTGCGTGTTATTTGGCACACCAGAATTTGTCTCGCCTGAGGTCATTTCCTACGAGCCTGTCAGTCCTGCTGCCGATATGTGGTCTATCGGCGTGATTTGTTACGTCATGTGAGTGAACTTCGGAAGGTGAAAATGATGAAGCCTCATCCGAGACTGCTGGTTTGTATAGTTGAAGATAGGCATGTAACTGCAGAGACCCTTGTGAGTAATCGCCTTAGCACATGAGTAAACTCGGAGGTACTAAAATAAGCAACCAACCAAAAAATCTGATCGGTTGAGGCAAATCGGCCTTAAAGTCGTATATAGTATCAGTCTAACGTGCGTGCATGCTTGCGTGTTTATATGGTAACACTCAGTATAAGCCAATCAAATAATAATAGCATCAGTAAAAGTAGGAAGTTTTCGCGGCGTTCCAAAAGCTGACATTTTGCCTGAAATCAGCGAAGCACAAGCAAGCAATCGATCATAAGCGATGGTAACAGGGGAAGAACGGGACTTGATGCAATAAACAGCACAACATAGGCTGACATATTCTGCAACAGGATTGAAAGGATTGAGAAGGAAGGAATAAAGTTGGTCTATGAAGTGAAGGCCTCGGAGAGAAATGATACGGACGCTCTTGAAATGAATTCGTCAAAACGAACCGAGATTAAATGCACACAAAGTTTACTTTGTATCGACGTGATGCAAAACTAAAAGGAGGTTTCACCAAGAAGCCCTTCAAACAAAACTCGGCAGAATGCCAAAGGTAATTGCAATGGTTCTCCACAGGTTGACAGTCGCCTCGTGCAATGAGAGCCAAAGGTATGACAGTTGAGTGGTTCTCAGCGGTATAATTGACAGACATGTTGTTTTGCAACAACTAATTCGATAACTTAATAGAGTAGAAAGGGGACAAGGATGAGGTGGCACTTATTTGGTTTGCAGACACAGCATCTTTGAGACGTAGAAACGACAAGGATATTTTACAGCACCAAAGAAAATTAATTGCGAAAAAAGAAGACTAAAAACTCGGGCACGCAATATTCTATTCCGATAGGTGGGATGCTATGTCGACTGGTTTGCTTCGAGGTGTCGGACGAAAGAAAACATTTTAAAGTTTTCATAACAGTTTCCCCCGCTGAGTCACGGCGATGGTAACGTTGTGTCCAGGCACGAAGTACCTGTTTGGCCATCAATAACATCGATATATAATTTGAAGTATACAAATTGGATCGCACGATGAAGAATCTTACAGATCAACCCCGGGAAACAATTCTTCCGATTTCCGAAAGTCCACAGTTCATTGCATACTTCACGATACTGCTGCTATCACTGGAAATTATTCAACGATGGACGTCCAAATTCACTTTTTTTAAAGAATTTATCCGGACGGATAAGTTCAACCTCATCAGCATTTTTTGAAGAAAAATCTCTTTACTTCAACTGGATAGAACTCGTGACCAGAAGAACTGAAAGCATAGGATAAACTTTCTTGTATTCAGACTCCTGTGAACAGTGCTTGTGTCTTGAGTATAGTGACAGCACGGAGAATATTGTTATATATCATTTGCTTAGAATTCACCCCGATTAACAGATGGATTCATTTAGTCCGAAGTTGCAGTCAGAATGCATCTATAGCTTATGAAAGTTTTATAGAGCGTTGTTTTAGAGGTACATATCTCATTGGTTGCGGATAAGTTGAGTTGTTGCAGAATATTCTTATCTCCGAGTTCTATTAATCCAAAGTACTATCCACTGTGTTTACTGGAGTGGGGGTGTAGACTAAGGTTTGTACAGGACATGCTATGAGTGTGCCTGATTCCACGAGAAGTAATGAAACAATTACCAGCCAACCACCCTACTGTAAAAGTCCTGTTCCGATCTGATACGTGAGGTATCTCATATCGGTTTACTAGCAGCTTAATTGATTGGACAACGTCGGGCAATAGGGTTGAAAGAGCACCACTTTGTTTCACCTTTCGTGCTTACTCCAGTGTCCCTGAAATTGAGATATTTGTGGCTCAGATAAATTTATGGAAGGTTTGTTCCGAATGAATATAAGATCTGCGTCCATGCCAAATATGGCATGATAAAATATATCAACACCATTTCACATCCATTGAATATGAAGTCACACACTCGGTTTTTATTGACTTTTTTCACTTTAGGCTCTCTGGTCTCTCTCCGTTTATGGGTGATAGTCAAGGTGAAACACTGGCAAATATCATGAAGGTTACATACGATTTCAATTATCCAGAATTCGCGGAAATTTCGGAAGAGGCACGTGACTTCATTCGACGCTTGCTGGTCAAAGATCCTCGGTAGGTTAATTACAACTTTTTCCGGCCCTTTTAACTTTTGATACAAACCGATTTATTGAATGTGAGAAATGTTCCGGTTTAAGATTTTTACATTGAAATCGTAAAATAATATAAGTTGCACCTGTTGCCAGAATGGAGGAACGAGGATATTTTGTTTATGAATTCTTATTCATAAAAAATCGGGTTCGAGCCAGCGTTTGTTCTCCATGAACGAAATCGTGGAAGTTTGGGATATGATTTGTTTTACTACTGACAAACTATTGAGTAGTTAAGCAATGAATCGTAGTTTATTGGTAACTTTATGAAGACCATTGATGAAATGACCATTGACACCATTCAGTTCGAGTGATTTGTAAATGCCAGCGGTACAGTGAGCATTGCCTGTGTTGGTTAGTCTCTAAATTTGTAGTCAAACGATTTCAAGTAATTCTTTTCTTCTCTTCCTCAAATGGGAGAGAGTAAAATGCCTTACCTGTTCAGGGCATCCATTAATTTCAATGCCACTGAGAGACGGTGAGTTAAATAGTCTCGCTAAACATAAATATTCGAAAGAAAAACACGAAAACTGTATTGCGGCGATGATTTTGCGAATATAAAATTCAAGCTTTATATAATGTATTGACGTTTATTGCCTTTAAAATTCAATCCTCACCAAATATATAAATGCTATTCGGAAAATAACATTTAAAGTTGTGGATTTGGTTTCGTGTGAGATCTCATCTAACTG